GCAAATGTGCCCCGCAAGCAGGGTTTGTCCCCCACAAAGGCTGCTTGTGCTGCAGCAGCAGGAGCAGCAATGGTGTGGTGAGGAGGGGAGAATGAGGAGGGGACGTGCTGTGCTCCAGGGCCCTGCACAGCCCCTTCCTCAGAGCCTCACAGGCTCCAAGCAGCCCCGATGCCAGGACCATCACTGCAGGGAGCAGATGATGAGGCTGAGCTGCTGGGTAAAGGAGACATTTTCCACCTCCCCTACCTGTGACACAGCCCAGGACTGTCCCTTTTCTCCTATACTCGTGCACATACCTGCTTCCTTTGTCCTGGCCAACCATGAGAAAAGGATCGTGTCTGGGGGCAGGGAGATGGTGATACTGTACTCAGTGAAGGGCTGCAGAGGGGGACAGGTAAATGTTCCCTCCTGGCCATGTAGCATCTCCTCTCCCTTCACCTCCTCAGCCTCACAGGGAGGGGAGGAAGGCACTGCCAGACGGCACGTGGCCCGCATATGCTGGCAGGCGTCAGGGAGCCTGCAGGTCCAGTTCAGTTTGATGCTGGTGCTGGAAACCTCCAAGGTCCCGGGGACAACCTGGAGGACCTCTGTGAAGGAAACATTGCAAGAGGGTCACGTCCTTCCCTTTCCTTCCCCTCTCAGCCTTGCAAGGCTGCTGCAGTCAGACAGCCCTGGTCCCCACCCAGCAGGGTGGGAGGGATAGTAAGTCAGAAACTGGTCATTCCAGCTCTGTGGTAGGGGATCAGGAGAAGTCTGGACAGGAACGAAAGTAGGTGAATGTGTGGACTATTTTCCCCACTAAGTCAAAACTGAGGTGTCTGTGAGTCCCAGCATCTCTACAGTCCAACAGATGCAACTCTTAGAAAGACCTAGCCCTTTCCTGCTCTGTGCAGGGCCCAGGAGAAAGGTTCATTTTCCTTGACAGTATAGTGAGAGATGGAGCTCTAGGGCATCATGTGGAGTAGCCCTTCTATACCACATCACCAGGAAGGGGATGAGGGAAAAAAGGGCCCCATGCTGCTTCCCCCAAGCCTCCCAGGAGAGGCCAGGAGGAGCAGGAGTTTGAGGGACAGGGGCATCCATAGTGATAAGTCACTATGCCCAGTGACTAATGGACCAGCATTTGACCCTGGTGCCTTGTGGCATCATCTAAGAAGTCAGAGCTATTTCACACTTTAGGACCCTGCCACATGCAGTCAGTAAAGTGCCCAAGAGTTACCAGGTGGGAAACCTCGAAAGCTTGGGCCATGCATGGAATGGTCCCTGGGAAGGGGGTCACAGGAGAAGCATCCCCTTCTCCTCCCACAGACCTCCCAACACTCTCCATGCACACAGCCACCTGCAGGGAACCAGCCCCGAGCCCTCTTGCTGCGGCCTGGGTCTCAGGGCACTCAGTGAGCTGGGGAGCAGCAGAGAACTGTTGTTTTCAAAACTTCAGAGACCTCTCACTGGGTTCCCAAATCGACTTCAGTGCCCCAAGCTGTGAGAAGATGGTGCCAAGCCTGTGTCCACCGTGACACAGAGTCTATGGTGAGCAAGCTGTGGTACTCACAGCTGCATGGTCTGAGAGGACACAGGCACCAGAGCCCTCTGATCCCCCTGCCCCAACCGTGATGCTGTGTAGACCACAAACTCCACCACACAGAGCTCTCCTGTGCTTCTCTCCTTTGTGCACACGCTCTTTCCAGAAGCCATTCGGGAGACACTTACTGTCTGCACCTCCAGCAAGAGCCTCACACCCACCGGTGAATCGCAGGCTGGACTCAGGG